CTCCTTCCCTCAATCTCCCTCTTCCTCTCCCTATGTCTCTCCCTCTCCTTCTTCCCCCCTCTCTCTCCCTCTCCCTGTCTCTTCCTGTTACAGAATATTGGATACAGAAAATAACAAGCTTATTCTGTGTAGATTATCCCCAGAAGTGTCCATAGTCATGGGCGTCCGATCTAGGCTTGGGTCAGATGTAATCCTGCTGACGAAAATGTTTCGCTTCTTCTGTAAGATTACGTCGAATATGCATACACGCATGCATATATGTATGTATGTATGTATATATGTACACACACACACACACACACACACACACACACACACACACACACACACATCTATGTAAATGTATATGTATGTATGTATATATATTTGTGTGTATGTGGGAGGAGGTGTGGGTGTGTGTACATCAATTGCCATCTATGCTGAATGAAGGAAGCCCATAATGTTTACTCCTTTTAGTCGCTTTGATTGCTTCTGTATTTTTTTTATTCCTCGTAGAATATACATTTTCTGCTGGCACTCTCTTGGCATAGTTTGGCTCTCAGAATGGGAGGATTTGCTTCGGATATGATGCAACCTGATCCTGAAATATGAAAGTCATAAGATTTGAGTGCAAAATTCTGAACTTCGAGGGAAAGAATATTATATGACAATATTTGCATTTAGTTTCTTTGTAAGACTATTGTCTTTGTGTTAGAAGGTCACAAACCACAGGCCGGTATTGAAATGTGGAGTGTATGTCCGTAGATTTTCATATCTACTTGTTTATTTACTTCTCTATTTTTTCCAGTGTTTGTTAATGTATAATCTTTGGTATATGGATGCTTTCTCTTACAAATTCTAACGACATTTCAAGTACTTTTAGCAAAGAATAGATGAAAATGGTAATGAATAATGGTGGGGGTAAGTGTGTGTCTGAATAGTGAGTGATTGTGTGTGCATTCATGTATGTGTTTGTGTATTCATGTGTGTGTGTGTGTGTGTGTGTGTGTGTGTGTGTGTGTGTGTGTGTGTGTGTGTGTTGTGTGTGTGTGTGTGTGTGTGTGTGTGTGTGTGTGTGTGTGTGTGTGTGTGTGTGTGTGTGTGTCTGTGTCTGTGTCTGTGTGTGCGTGAGTGAGTGTGTCTATGTACGTATGTATTTATGCGTGTGTCTATGTATGCATGTATTTACTTTCACTTTCCAAAGTGGGTTTACGATACCTGAAGAAATACAGATAGTTCAGAAAGACGGGACATGTGAGTAGGAAATCTTTAAAATAGCAGATCTAATATCATCAACAGCAGCAAATCAGTTATCAAAAGGATATATTCTTCCATTTAAAAAAATAACAATTAAAAGTCAAGGATTCTTCCAACCGGTTCACTTGATACTCATATTACAAAGGTTTATGCTCTCGAACATGACCCCAAGCATATGAAAGAGGAATCTAATACAATTTTTAAAGAAAATTGAAACTAATTATATACGGCATCATGTTCACTCCTTTTCACTCCGGGCAAACACACTCTTAAGACGAACAGAAACAGCTTGGCCTTTCTCAACCCACCTGTCATTATGGGAGGTCTTGCCAGGGGCTGAGGTCGACGACTGGAAGGAGCAGGCTGTTGGAGCAAGACACTCGAGGGTTTCTGGCGGCAGAGGGAGAGGCAGGGTTTGAAGACAGGGGTGGGGATCTACATGTAAATTTGCTATCTATAAGTGCATACATATATAACGTATGTATATACATATATACATACATTATACATACATAAATACATACACACACACATAAGTGCATAAATACATACGTAAGTAGACTCAGTCACACATACACACACACATGAATACATAAACACATACATGAATACATCCCCACTCACAATTCAGACGCACTTACCCCCACCCCTACCCACCCACACGCACACATATTTCACCTCTAACATGCTGACTTTGTATATTTGCTCCTGCTCATGATCATAAGCAAGACAAATGCGCTCAGATAACGCCAATGACCACAAACGCTGACAAAAGCTCAACTGCCGCTCACATGGCGTGGTCGACCAGCACCATCGGGTATCTCTGTAGCGTGACCAGCTGATCCGTGTTGTCGCAGAGGACCCGCGCTAAGCTAGCCTGACGCAGGGAATCCAGCTGACCTGAGGAGAGACGGTATACATAGTTATTTATAATATAAACATAGTTATTGTTATTTCTTTTATTACGTTATATAGTTATTAAATATATAATTATTATAGGTAAATATAGTTATTGTTATTCCTTTTATTACGTTGACATTCAGGTATACATGCAGCTACGAGAAGGAAAGAAAATTAACATTGTCTATTCTTTCTGATTTAAGATTAAGGTATAAAAACAGTTACGAGAGGGAAAGAGAATTACCATAGCTAATTATTAGTCTTTCTAAATAAAGGTTCAGGATTCGAGAACAGCTACGAGAAAGGAAAGCCTTAAACATAGCCAATTATTTCATTCAGATCCAAACTCAGGTATAAATACAAC